AAGCAGTCTGCTATGTCTGGGATTTGAATAATGGTTGGCCATGTGTGAGTCCTGCACCCCTACCACCATGCCACCTGCCGGCCCCTGTTTCTAGTATTTTTACTCTTTCTTAATGAGCCTTCAACTACTTGTATCTTGTTTTCCCCAAGTTGCATAATGATTGACTGTTTATAAACCAATAAGATAAATAAGGCTGATTCAACATGATGTATATGTTTTTAAATTATTTATTTATTTTATTATTTTTTTAAGTTTGTTATAGGGCATGTGTGCTCACCAGAGAGAGAGAGAGAGAGAGAGAGAGAGAAAGAAAGAAAGGGAGAAATCAAGCCACCAGGTCCAGAACTCAAATTGTGGTCTGTCATGTGGGAGTCCAACACCTTAAATATCACACTACCTGCTGGCCCCAATGTATGAGTTTTTAAAGAGCCATTGAGCAGAACATGTATGAGTTTTTAACATGATAACTTCATCGAGAGCAGACTCTGTCTTTCCTATATTACACTGAATGTGTTGTCCAATGAATGATGGAATATGAAACTTCCAAATCCCATACATAGAGAAATTAAGCCTTAACAGAATAAAATCCATATTAAATTAAAAACTCTATGGAACCAGCAGATGACATAATGGTTATGTTGCTGGACTCCCTCATGGCTGACTGCAGTTCAAGTGCCGGACCCAGTGGCTTGAAACTCACGCTGGGCGCTTGTGTGTGCGTGCCCAAGATCCCAAGAGGAGAATGTTGGAGAAGGAATTGCGGCATGGCTATCCCTGTGGGGGATGATTTCTCGCTTTCTGTCTCTCTGTCATTTTCTGTCTCTCTGGTGAGTGCATGTGCCATGTAGCAAAAATCTCTCTTAAAAAAAAAACAGTGTTGGACAATGATGAAGTTTATATAGATACTGTCCATCTTAGCAGCAGGAGATAGGGTTGATCTTTCTTTGGACAGTTAACATATGATCTGCCTCTCTCTGTTGCTCTGATTTCTCAGCTTTACTTTATCGTGCCTTATAATAAACACTATTTCATCTAGGTGAGAGGAGTTTCTGAGCCTCTGGAGAAGTAAAATGCAGCACTCTCCATAAAGGTTATCCCGGAAAATGACACCCAATTCTCCAGGCAACATTTAACTTCATACGTGATGACCAATTAGTCCTAGTTTTACCCATAGCATCCCAGTCACCCAGAATGAGAAGCCTTCACTTAGGCAATATGGATTTTGACTAACCAAATCTCATTTTTCTCCATGTCCAGGAATATGCAGCTATCTAAAAATAAGAAAATTAATTTAGTCTAAATCAGATTTTACATTTATCTAAATATTTGTTTGAACTCATAAAAAGTTTATTGACATCATTTAAAAGGTGAAGAACTAAAATACATTCCAAATATTGACCAAAATACTGTGGGAAGTAACTTATAGAACTTTCCATCAAAATCTTTGTTATGCACATTGCTATATCTCTCTCCATCAAATCATCTCCCTCCTCCAAGCCACACCTTCTGGTGGTAAATTCATGGACTAATTTGCTCTGCAAAGGGCCAAAACCAAAGATAACTCAAAGTGAGAAATACAGCCAGCTAAAAGCAAGAGAGAAATACACAGACAGACCATTTCTGTTAGAGTCTCAGGCATTCAAGAGGTTCATAATCTTCATACAAATATATAAAATTTTTAGTGACTATATTCATTTGAATTAATTCTCTTCCTCTTTAATTCTTCACATCAAGCCTGCAAAAGAAAAACCAAAGAAGCCATCAGTTTTTCCCCCTCAAGCTTTAGGAATAAGGAATAATTAACATAGAATTGTACATATTTACAATGTACAACGTGATCTTTTGATACATGCATTCCTTGTGGAATTATTAAATAGGGCTAATTACTAATTAGCACATCCAAGTATGTGAAGATACTCAGTTTTTTGTATATGTGGTGAGAATGATTAAGATCTAATTTCTTAGCAATTATCAAGTATACATTATTATTAACTATAGTTACCATGTTGTACAACAGATCTTGTGAATTTATTCCACCTAACAAATTTTGTATCCTTTGACCAACATCTTCCCAGTCCTCCACTCAACCCTCTACCCCTGGCAATCACCATTCTCCTCTCTGCTACTATGGGTTTTAACTTTTTAGATTACACATATGAGTGAGATCATGTGCTATTTGTCTTTCTGTATCTGACTTATTTAACTTGCTATAATGTCCTCCAGGTTCATCAGTAGTTTAGTTCCCATGAGTTTTTTGTTTGTCTGTTTAGTTTTTTGCCTTAGGGCATGTGCACTTGGTAGATAGAGACAGAGACAATGAGAGGAAAAGTGATAAATCACCCCCCTAGGGGGAGGGGAACAGCCACACCACAATCCCTTCTCCTCCATTGCCTCCTGGATCTAGGTAGGGCATGTACACACACATGCCCAGCATGAGTTTCAAGCCACCAGGTCTAGGACTTGAACCATGGTCAGCCATGAGGGAGTCCAATGACATAATGATTACACCATCTTCTGGCCCCTCACAAGTTATTTTAGGGACAGCTGATAAGCATAAATATGATAGATACAAGTCAAAACTGAATATTCCATTTTCACTTAAAAACTATTTCATGAATGTAAACTGAGTAGATGTGACCATCAACTTTGGCTTTCATAATTTAAGTAATTCCAAACTAAATTAGGGTGGCTTCTCTCAGACTAGAGTATAATGCTACTCTCACGATTATGACTTTTAAGACCTTCGGTGCACGAGATAACTTTGCATTTGTGGCTCTAATTATTCACCCCTCTCTCTGCCCATTGTCATGTTACTATAGTTTCCTGTGACTGTGGGTGTGGTACAGTTTCTCATGTCTGCGTTTGGCCACATGACTTATTATACTTTGGCCAACAGAATGAGGCAGAAATAATGTGCCAGTTGTGAGCCTATGCCTCAAGAGGCATTGTATGTTTTTGCTTATGTTCTTGTACCTCTGCCATTGCTGTAACAAGGCTATGCCCAGGAGAGCCTTCTGACAGCAGCAGGAGGATGAGGAACAAACATACAGAGCAGAGCCAACCCAGCTGAAGTGCCTCAACCAGGCCCCGCATAGGGCAGGTCCTCCAGCTGATCTGTAGGTGCATACATCAGTCCAGCCAAGATGAGCTGACCCCATCCTAGATCAGCGGAGACAAAAACGATGACTCAGAATAAGAGATTCTGTTTTAAGCATTGGATTTGGAGGTGGTTTGTTATGCAGCAATAGCTAATCAATATAGTGACCTCTTTTCTTTTCAAAGCTCTTATAACCTAGGGATTCTTGAACATTATTTACACATCTGTTTTCCTTTGTTTTTTTTTTTGGAGAGGTTTTTGCTATAGGGCGCGTGCACTCGCCAGAAAGACAGAGAGAAAGAGATAGAAAGCGAGAAATCACCCCCGGATGGCCACGCCACAATCTCTTCTCCTCCATTCTCCTCTTGGGATCTTGGGCACACACGCACACGCGCCTGGCGTGAATTTAAGTCACCAGGTCTGGGACTCGAACTACGGTCGACTACATGGGAGTTCAGCGACATAGCCATTACGCTAACTGCTGGTCCCGTATTTTCTATTAATTTTTAGTGTCGTTCCTTGCATGTTTTATTTATATGAATGGGCTGAATCTTTTCTATGAAATGAAATGTTGATATTTCTTTTAATTACCAATTGCTGGAGAAAGAAAACTTCCTAGATAAGGGTCCTCTCCCTACTGGGGCAGAAACTATGGTTGGAAACTCTTCACAACTCTTGTTTTTCTCTACTATGAAGGCTCATGAGCCAAATACTTTTGGTCTATCTAGGAGAAGCCATGGGACCCCATTCTGACTAGTAAGCCCTGAGAAGTCTGCAGCAGAGCTCTTTTTAGAAAGCTTTGCTTTCCTGTATATTTCTTTGGAGATTATAAAGTCCACTGTGCCATTAAATATTTATAGAATTGCTGTGATGTAAATAACCTACATCATTGTTAAGATGAAATGCATAGAGGCTTGAAAAACAAAGTGAGGGCCACCCCTCTGGTCCAGTGGCTAAGTGCTGTCTAGAGGAGACTAGATCCCATATGGCAGACCAAGGTTCAAATCCTAGCCCGGGTGGCAACATGTAATTAGATCAAAGTCTCATAGCTGGTAAATGAAAAGGCTAGGATTTTAACTCAGGGGCTCTTTTTGAGTTCTGACTCTGGGCCACTTTCCACTCCACTAAGAGAGAAAGTCTGGATGGCTCTTAAACCAGAGGGCAAGGTAGGAAGGTATTCATGATTGCAAAACTGAAAATACTATGAACACCAGTCTGCAAAGGCTCTTGTATTTCTCTAGCACTTTATTTTATTGCAGTAAGAACATAACACGAGATCTCCCTCTTCACACATCTCTAAGTGTATAGTACATTACTGTTGAGTTGACTATAGGTATGATGTACAACAGCTTATTAAAGAGAGCTACTTCATCTTGCTTGACTGAAACATTACAACTGTTGATTAGTAATTCCCCATTTTCCCTTCCCTCCAGTCCCTGGCAACCACTGTTTTACTCTTTGAGTCTATGCATTTGACTGTTTTAGCTGCCTCATAGAAGTGGAATCACACAGTATTTATCTTTCTGTGACTGAATTATTCTACTTGACATGATGTCCTCAAAGTTGATCCATGATGGGACAGCAGATGACGTGGTGGTTAAGGTACTGGACTCCCACATGGCTGACCACAGTTTGAGTCCCAGACCCAGCAGCTTGAAAATCATGTTGGATGCATGTACATGATTCTCTCTCTCTCTCTCTCTTTCTCTCTCAAGCACTCACACCCTGTAGCAAAAACTAAAAATAAAAGTTGACCCATGTCATCACATATGGCTGAGTTTCCTTCTTTTCAAAGCTGAACAGTATTCCTCTGTGTGGAAAAACAGAGTAATATAGTCTTTATTTTGGTACAAAAAATTTTGAAATTCAGGCAGAATTTTTGTTGTTGTTAAGATTTTTTTGTTATAAGGCAAGTGTGCTCACCAAAGAGGGGAAAGTGAGAAATCACCCCCTCCCCCAGAGATGGTGGGGGGAGATGGTCACAATGTAACCCCTTCCCCTTTATTCTCCTCTTAGGATTTTGGGGCCTGCATGTACAGACATCTAGTATGTTTTTCAAGTTGCCAGATCCAGGACTCAAAACATAATGTCAGCCACTTTGGATCCATTACCTTAACCACCATGCCACCTGCTGGCCCTGAGTTTTTTCGTATACATTTTCCACACATTTTTGAAGATCGTACACATAAAGTCACTTTTTAAGTGGACAGCAGGTGGCGTAGTGGTTAAGAGCGCTGGATTCTCACATGGCCAACTCCAGTTCGAGTCCTGGACCTGGCAGCTTAGCTTCTCACTTTCCCTTTCTGTCTCCCTCTGTCAAATATAATAATAATAATAATAAAAATAACAACAATAAATTGAAATAGACAGTTTTTAAAAATTAATTTATCTATGGGTGGACATTTAAGTTGTTACCTATTCTTTTTAAAAATTGTTGATTTTCAGTCCATGACAATCACTAAAGTGAAGATACCATTTCATTCCCAGTCTGGGTTTCTGGGTAACAGCAATTCTGCAGCCTCCTCCTGGGTACCATGCCAGCCCTGCTTCTGACCATTCTCCCTCATGCACCCTGTACTCTGAGTTCATTAGACCACTTATTGCTTCTGGAAAATGACAAGAGCCTTCAGGCCTCTCCCTCTTTCCTTAATACTTTTGACCAAAATCTTACCTCCTCATGACTCTTCATGTAACACACTGAATTTTGCTTATTTGTTTATATGCACCATCTCACTCCTGTCATGTGTTTCCTACTGTAATTGTTCTGCCACTAAGCTGTGGCCTTCTGAGGGGTATAAAAACAACCTGTTCATTTTTGGGATCATTGCCTATCATTGCACCTGACACACAGCAGGGGCTAGAAGATTGATGAGTTGGAAGAAATAAGAACAGGAAAGGATTAGAGTGGAATTCACAGCCAAACGTGCATTATTCTGTGACAGAAGCAGGAACGAATCAGGGGCCCTAGGAGCATTGATCTGATGTGCTATGGCCCCACGTGCTATTACTTCTGCCCTGGGCCTCAGCCATAGCCCCGCCATGGCCAGGGATGCTCTAATCACTTTACTGCTGTGGTCACTATGCTAGATGACATATGGTCAGTCTTTCTGGCTGAGAGGTCCATAACAAAATGCCCTTGAAGCTGAGACCTCCTATGGGCGTCTCTGAGCATTGTGGAAGGGGTGATGATCCAAAGCAAATTGTCGCTGAGGCATGTTCTGAGTTGTGATTTCTCTCCAACAAGTATCCAGTCTGTGAAGTACCATCTGTGATACAGAAACAGGCACCATTTATATGATAGACTTGACATGGACTCCGATCACTAGATATTTATCCCAGGTTGGTGACGTTATAGCTATCCTGAGAAATAAGAGGTGAGCCATTGCAGTGACACTTGAGTGACTATTTAAAAGCTGTCAGATGTCCCTTGCAAATGGGTTCAGTTTGTAGGCCTATGACTTTGAGACCATTTTGCAAATAAAGAGAAATTTTGATTCAGTTTTCCCAGACCATCACAGCCACTGTGTTATGACCATTTTATTTAGAACAATAAATGCATGGGATTCTCCATGCAGCATTAACCTTGGAGAGACTGTACTCTTCTTTACTCACTGTGCCTGAGAGTCAAAGGAAGCTGG